GCCACAACGACCCTTCCGTTTCGAGCACACAGAACGACACGGCCGTATCTTGTCAGCCAGGTCAACAGCTGCTCGCTGCCAGATGCGACGGACCGTGCTTCTATCAACTCCAAAGGATGCAGCTACGTCAACGAAGGCACCTCTAGGCAGTGCCTTGTCGTCAATCATTTGCGCGAGTAGTTGCTGGAGGATGGCATTCCGGTCGTTGTCCGTCAAGTTCCTCTTGGCGCGCATTTCGTTTGTCGATCTTGACCCGCTGATATCCGGATAACGCCTTTTTGGTTAAAATTGTCCAAGTTGTATGGGTTTAAGTATTGAGGCTTTCACTTGCTGTATCTTTTGTGATTGGGTTAAGTTTGGTACGAAGCAATGCCATTGGTGAACTGTAGAGTCTACTAATCTTGCTCATGTTTTCAGAATGGAATAATTCGACCATCGTCACCGTCATTTCCCAAATATTCTGTTTGGGGCAAGTATTTCCGGACAGAGGTAGTATTATATTATATTGCAACTCTTATTTTGCACCATTCACGTCACTCTCGAAATTTCGATCCATAACTCAACTTGCATCCAAAATGGTACTCTCGTTAAACGAAGTTCTTGCGCTGAATGTTGCCGCCAAAACACGAAGGCAACGACGGCTTGTCGCTACGCTGCTTGCAATCTCGTACATTCAACGTCCACTTATCCCGAACGTCCGATACGACAAAACAGCCTGTGCCGATGCAAATGCAATCTTGGAATATTGATTCGACGTGCATGGAATTAAAAAGCTTGGACTCCTTCTTCGGCTGCCAGCAGTTGTCATCACAGAAACCCGTAACCGTGTCGGTCGTGACGAAGCCATGTGCATCATGCTGTCCCGCCTTGCTTTTCCATCTCCCCTGTACACCATGACGAAAACCTTTGGGCGTTCTCAGTCCGTACTGTGCGACATATTTCTGTACATGATCAACGATATCCACGACCGCTGGCATGACCTGCTATTTTTCAACCTGCGCCTGCTACGAAATGGATCGATACTACGAGGCAGTTGGTCGGAAAAGCTCCTCTGTCGCCGCAGTGTACGGCTTCATCGACGGTACCAACGTTGAAGTGAGTCGAATAACACTACCGGTAACAGCGACAACCTCAAACAGCAAGCCTACAGTCGTCACAATCGTGTCCACTGTTTAAACTACCAAGGAATTACGGCGCCCGATGGCATCTGCATTCACTTCTTCGGGCCGGTGGAAGGAAGAAAACATGACACGACAATGCTTCGCCACAGTTGTATGTTGGGGTATTTTGCTTTGCATTCTGATTTTTTTCTGAACAAGTTCATTTATGGTGATCCTGCATAAGTTGTTTACACATTTTTGCTGTCGGGGTTCAAGGAGAATGGTCTTTCCAGTGTGCAAAAAGAGTAGAATAAATGGATGAGTCGTGTTCGGCAATCTGTTGAATGGAATTTCAAAATTACTATCTCTGTCCCCCAATAATTGCTGGCAGTATCATATATTTCGGCCTCCTCTTCTCCGATTGACCTAGAAATTTGTGGACAGGGTAGATCAAAGGATAACGAATACTGGTGATTTTTCCTGAATTATATTTCACGTTTTGGAGATGGAAGGAACGATGGAAGGTTCCAATACAAAGCGCAAGTCAAATTTGACCGACGACCAACGAGATTGCCTGTACCTCGAGCTGCTGAAGAGAAGCACCGACGGCAAAGTTTCCTGTGCGATAATGAACGATGTGTGTGCCATCTTTCATGTAAACCAACCCACTGGGTGGCGCAACTTTCAACGCGGCAACCAAAGGCCCCCCGGAGGCGGACCTCCTGACGCCAAAGCATGGCTGAAAGGCAACAGCGGTCGGCGTTGACAATACTCTGTCGGAGATATTGAGAAACGCATCAAAGCAGTGCCCCTGCATCTACGCCAGACGTACCGTGCTCTGTCGTCAGCCACCGGGCTCTCCAAGCATCTCCTGTGGAAATACATTCAAAGCCGATGGATTACACGCCGATCTAGATGGACGCGACCAGCACTCAAGCCCCAGAACAAGGTCGCGCGTCTCGCCTTCTGTCAAGACCACTATGACAGCGAGGGTAATATCATATTGATGAAAAGTGGTTCTACATGACGAAACTTCGCCGCAAGATTTAGGCGTGGCAAGATGAAGACATTGCTCCGCGCCCAATTCAGTCGAAGTCTCAGATTACAAAAGTGACGTTTCTTGTCGCTGTTGCGCGACCATGAGCTGGCTGGGACGGGAAGGTTGGATGCTGGGAGCATGTCGAAAAGTCCCAGGCTCAACGGAACAACGTGAATCAGCCTGCCGGAACAAGCGTGATCAAGTGCCTGACGGTCACTAGGGACATCTACCGGTTGTTTCTCGTGAAGTATGTAATTCCAGCGATCAAGGCAAAATGGGTTTGGCCGGACGGCATTGAGAGGGGCGATATTGTATTCAGCAAGACAATGCACGACCCCACGTTCAAGACAACGATCCAGTTGTCATTGAAGCTGGTCAAAGAGATGGTAGGGCGATTCACGTGCGTCCTAGATCTGGGCTTTTTCAACTCCATTCAAGCGTTGCAGCAACAAATGGTGTGCTCAAGCTTCGAGTCGCTTATCCATGCCGTGAAGTCCGCCTTTGCAGACCTTCCTGCAACAACTCTGGAAGGAACTTTTGGAACGCTACAACGTGTCGTTGCCGCGGTTGTTGACGCAGCGGGAGACAAGAGGTACAAGGTTCCGCGCAGTTTGAATTATCAAGCTGATATTTTGGCGCTCGACATGATGAACTTGCGGCTGGAAGAAGAAGGTCGGTTGGAAGAACTGACGCAGATGATGGACGCTTTGGTCGTCGACTTTGAATAGATTTGTACTACTCCAGTAAAAACTTTTTAATTACAGATTCCTTGTATTTGAATTTGGTGTACTCTGGAATGTTCGCCTGCAATATTTGGGGGAAAGAGGTAGTATGAAGTTTATGTGGGCATTTATTACACACAAGAGTTCATCGAAGGTTAGACTATCACCTGTGGCGAAAATCGTTTTGGCGTCCGTGTTACTGACGAACTGCCACTGCTGCCATTTTGGTGGAAATCAAATATCAAGCTACTTCGATCTGGAGCCGCCATCGCTGGAAGAGAACTTGGATACTTTGGAAGTTAAAACAGTGTAAGCTCATGAATATTACTTTATTATTGCTTTTTGCTCAATGCAGCTAACACATTCATCATTGTTTCGTGTTGCATGCGCGACTGCCCGAGTAATACATCGGGGTGTGTTTGGCGCTCCTTAAGATCCTTAGTATACTGGAACTTACGAAATCAAGTTCCGCCTTGCTTTCTTCCTGCATCATTGTTACAAACTACATCAACTTGCCACCGCCACCGCTGGACTCTGAATCATTTGGTGAATGGTTTGCAAAATCTCTCTAATGTTGTTTGTTTTGCATACAGTGAGTGACGGAAAAATATCCCCAGTGGTACAAGAGAAAAACCTTAAAATTTGTATTGGGAAAAAATTGCACTCAACGAGAATTGACCGTATTATTATTCAACCTGGTTTTGACACTTCCACGATTGGTAGAAAATAGATCATTTAGTGCTGCGACCACTACGACCTGCAACAAGTACCAGTATATTTCTGAAAACTGCTAATATTTCGAAAACGATATTTTTTTTCAAGTGACAAACAAGGGTTCGAGACAAGGGTATTTCTCACGATCTTCCAACGAGTGGAGATATTTCTCACGATCGTCCATGTTGAACGGTCGCGAGATATTTTTATTCCAAATCCTCCACCGCGTGGCTAAAAGATTTATGAGGTGGAAGTAAATCCCAGGTGGGTTTTACTGATTTCCCCCCGACTTTGGAACAGTGCAAAAAACAAACTTTCTAGAGGACATAAGTTTATACAGTTATAAATTTTCACACAATGTGCGCGAGGTCCAACCGATCACTCAAAACTGAAAGTTGACTGTCCATGATACAGTACCAGTTCGGTTCCAGCAGTTCGAGATAGTTGCAGGCGTGACGGAGCGCCAAGCATCTCTTGCCCAAGCCATGGCCTCCACAAGAGGTACTTCATAGAGCCCAGTCTGTCGACCCTCCATCACCAGGTTGATCTGATCTAGCGCGTTTTGCAACTGGCGTTGCTTCAGCTTGGCCTTGAACGACGCGATGATGCCAGCATCTCGAGGCTGCAGGTGCGTCGTCGTGTTCGATGGTAGCATCTTGATCTCAACATGAGTTAGCACCGTGTCTTCATCGAGCGTGTGCGGCGGGGAATTATCGACAAGAAGCAGGATTTTTCGGTCCTCTGAGGCCATTCGGTCGTTCAGGGACCTCACGAATTCGTTTGAAGATCCTTCCGTTCATCCACGCTTTGTTGCTTGCATGGTAATCGAATCCAAGCTCTGCGCCTGTATGTCTCCCAAAACACCGTGGCTGACCTGCCGTTCCGATGAATAGGGCGTCCACGACGTCTGAGCCGTCTGCATTCGTCGTAAGCGCCAACGTGATCCTCTTCGATGACCGCTTTGTGCCGGGGACGCGATTCCGGGTGATCGATCGGTGCGGCGACAGACAGTAAAAGAAGGACGTCTCGTCCATGTTGTGCACGTTGCTGACATCGTATGCACACGTAGATGCCTGGATGTCGCGGCGGCCTTCTTCGACGACAACGATGGATGTGGACGCAGCTTGTCCATGCTGGACATTGCTGGTAAGTCCGTGTTTTCGTTGAAACTTATACAGCCATCCTATTGTAAACCGTAGACATTGGGTTGTTGGGATGCCAAGTTGATCGCAAGGTACTTTGGCTTGCTTCCTTATGAGCTCCCGCGTGAGGCAAATCCCAAGTTCCTCGCAGCGGAGGACCCATTCGACGAGCTTAGTTTCCAGGGCTGGCAGTGTAACCATGCGGTCAATTGAGCGATGTTTTACGTCGGCGCGCAGACATTGTGTTTGATGGCTTGAAATTGCTCGCCCCACAGTTTGTTTGGATGGTGCAGAATGAAGCTTAAACGCATCTTTTGACCATGCCGCGAGGTCAGAATACGTCGTGCTAGGCTGATCCAAATGCTTCATGAACAAGGCGCGCTTGTCAGCCAACGTCATTCGCAGCTTCATCTTTAAAAATCAGCGTGTCAAAGCCGATGCCTTATTGGACATTTGAATTTTCAAACTAACCTTGACACTTAATAATATTCGTTTCTACAAGTCATTATTGTTGACCCGTTCCAGAGTCAGGGGGAAATCAGTAGTCCTCTCCATTCCAGAATTTCAGTGGACCCCAGCAACCGCCGATAATCCCTGCCGTCCACGACGCCATATCGACCACGACAGCCATGACTCAGCGACTTTCGATCTATACTCATGTACACCTGGTCCTTCATGCTAGGCATGTGGCATCTGTAGCTCACGCGACCCCCTCCCGACCGCAGCAGGCCTCCCCCGATCACTAACGTCGAGCCCCGGGGCGATTGACTGCGCCACCGAAGAGAGCCGATGGCACCCAATCAAGGTACGTGAAAATAGTCTGTCAACAACATCGCGAGCTCATATGTTCAGGTCATCGCGAAAAGTATGTGGTTTCGCACCTGCCGCGATCAGTCGCATTCATGCGGCGCTGGCCGTGGCAATGAATTCGACAAGACGTTGAGGTGCGTAATATTACACAAACGAACAATGTCGACATAGCAGGCATATGTATTGCGTTTGTGTTGACTATATTTTGTGTATTAAGGTGTTTGAAATTGTGCCGTTTGTTGAGTGTCGTCTTCGTTCTCATTGTCGTTACTGGCTATTGCATCTTCGTCTTTAGTGTCAAAAGCGCTGATTGGAGCGTACGATTGGACTATTTGAAAACCGTCAAATGAAGCGCCTGCCCGGACTGAAGGCAGTGTCAGTTCTTAACTTTGTGCCAAAGCAACTACGACAATTGTATGTTTTCGCCGACGGCTCTTTGCCACGACTGTAGATACGTTGTTTGTTCGGTCTACCAGCTTGATGGTAGACCGATGGCGGTTTGCACGAATCAAACCCGACGCTGCTTTCATCCTGAATGAGCATGCGGACGACTCCTTGGCCGGTGTAATTTCCCTTGCGCGATGAAAGGTCTCAACATTGTCTGTCGGTATGGCCTGTGGAGATCGAGCACGAGAACTACCCCGGACGTTCCAAGGACGGTCTACCCGATGAACATGGGACGCACCTTTGCGGACACACGACCGCCTACAGCGAGAACTTGCTGCCATGTTTACAAACTTGCCACGACTGACGAAATAGTCACATTATAGCAATGGCTTCACTGGTGAGTACCCCGTTTATGAAATATCACTAACGTAGACCTCATTGATCAGCCGAATTGCAGCTCAGTAAACTTGAGTGTATCTCGCGCAATTTTCACAACTACAAGATATGACGTATATGTTCATATTCCTCCAGACATGCTGAACACGATTGGTTGGTCGCCTATCAATTTCAACAGTTCCAGGATGAGCCAAAAATTGTTGAAAATGCCCACTCAAACAGGACTCTCAGTGATCAGCCGAATTTATACTGGATTAAACTATGGGATAATGAAGGGCAAAACCGTCAAATTT